TTATATTAATACAGAAAATTAAATTATTCAATTTTAGTAAAAGAATAGGAGAATTAATCTTTTTGATGTTCCAAATTATTTTTGCGGATGCAGTCTTCCCACATTTTCAAACGTTGCAATTGCATTTCATGCAATACGATAATATTACGTATGCATTCGATTCACGTGTTCATGTAATATCCATAAATAAAATTGTGAAATTCGCGTAATACAAAGGGAATGAAAAAAGCTTTCGCGGTTATTCTCGAAGGGCGGTCATCTGCATAGTGTCTTTACATATATATATATATATATAGATATTGTAAATTCGATCAGGGAACAACGCCATGTTTTTCCACTCCCCCAAGTAATCCAGATAACAAAGTTCCTCTCAATCTGGCCTATCATCGCGCCAATATCCGCCGGTTACGTTCCGTCCCGATATCTTCGTCGGTGTCCCTTCGTCCGTTGATCCGATTATTGGATGCTGTGAAAGGGTATTGCGGAACAGTTAAGATGTCTTGTACAGAATTAGTTTGCGCTATACACGGCGCAATCATTTTCTAAAATCAATCAGCAAAGACATCACTCCTGTTAATCTCTTTTAATTACTTCTTCATTAAAATGCAGCAGTTTATTAATATATCATATTAATTTTGCATTTATTCTTATGTGAAATGCGCGTTTATTTCTAAATATAGAAATATAGATTTATAAGACAGTCATCAATTAAAGTGATTGTAATAATAGTAAATCTTACATTACAGTAATCAAATTGATGTGTATTTATATATATCCACTCTTCAAATTATTGAATAATCTTTGTAATTAATTATATTTTAATATTTTTATATATTACTTATCTCTGGGTCTTTATATTTCGATTATTTTATATTTTTTATATCTGTCTTTATAATCCAAAATTATATTTATTATACGTACTTTCGTTAAAGAATACAGATGTTTAAAGCATATAATTATTTTTTAGTTAATATTAAGTACTGCAAAAATTCATGAAGAGAGAAAATCTGGAAAATTAAATTTAAAAAAACTTGTTTTTTAAATAAAAAATATTTTCAGCAAATATTATCTTTTGGCATTCATTTAAAAAATTCTCTCCATTACGTATGCTAAAATAAAACATTGATTTAGTCTTTTATCGAATAATATATAATTACATTTTACAACATTAATAGTATCCAAGCTTAATGCACGAAACTATACGCCTCCCTTTGAAAAGATCGCGACGGTAGAAAAATTGAGATCTCGTAACGTATCCGACGCTGCGTTTCCCTTCCGAAAAATCCCATCTTCTTAACACCACATAGACGGGCGTTTCTTCCCCGATTTTTACCGGGTGTTACCCGACGGTAATTCCGAGCCGCGTGATCCGAAACGGCATCATCGTGCCGTGAAACGGCCGCGCTTAAGCTTTAGCCACATCGGGCTAATGTTGGTAGATACCTCCCACGGCGAAATTAAGGCAAATTGTGTGCCAGCGCGCACGCCGCCATACGACACTATTCCGCTGGGAAAATCGATATGCAAATCTACGCGCAAATCCTAGTAATTTCGCTCACCCTGCGGCCCTTGCAGCAACAGCTCGATGAATGTGCGCGCTGTCGACACCCCTTTGCGTCCTTTTCTCCCTTACGTTTTCCTCGGTCTCTCTCTCTCTCGATTTTTCACACGTAGTTTTTTCTCCGTCGCCTTGTCTGCAATGCTTGTCTCAACAGCGAAAACGCGTTCCTACCCTCTCGGTCTATTCTCGTACGCGCGATAGGAGACGGCGGAAAGGGTGGGAGATGGGTGAGAGGTTATAAAACGGGGTTAGCCCGGGTCTGAAGGATCGTGTTCGTCGACCACCTTCGACGACAGGGCTTTATCGAGGTGAAAAAGGTTGCTCGACATCGACTTCCCGCCATGAAGTGAGCACCTTCCATGCTTGTCTCTCACCGCTCTCTTTTGCTTTTTTTTTTTCTTTCTTTCTTATGTCTCGTCGTCGAGTCATTTTCACGCGGGTATCTCCGCACGAAGGGTTTTTCATCCAGCTGTTTGGGAAAAACGATCCGAGATGCCTTTTACTCCGAATTATTATCGCGTGTTTACTGCCGTACTTTTCACTACTTATATGTGATCTCGTAATTTTGAGCCGGACATTGATGTCAATAAAATTTTTTATGTCGCCGGATCGAGAATGGACGATGCTCGACAAATATGTCGTTTTGCACTTTTATTTTTTAGATGTAACAATAATATGATCAAAGCGTTCGCTGATAGTATTGAAAAATCTGAGAGATGTATTTTGATTTAAATCGATATTAGGTGGATGGATAATTTATTTTTAGCGATCTAAAATCTCATGATTAAAATTTATTTATTGTAATTATAGAAATTATTTCGTGCTAAAATTGATCGCAAAATATTTTCGCTTAGAACCGCATTTTATTCGGACGAATTGTCTTCGGTCTGGCGTCTCCGCTTTATTTAGGTGAGACAGGAAAAAAGAAAATGCACATTCTCCGAGTAACTTGTATTTGTGGGAGGTCAGCGCGAAAGGAAGGAAGACAATCAATCTTGATCCCAATTATCGCGTCGCTCAGCGACTGTAATTGAGTCGGTCTCGAGCCTCCGACCGCCTCCATCCACCAGCATTTCTTTTGTAATGCCGGAAGGCTGAAACAATGAAGGCACAGAGGTTTTTTTTCGTTGTGCTTGTACGAGACGACTAAAAGCATTTTTTTTTGCTTTAGCACACCTGCTCGTTTCGCGCCAATGAGTTATCAAGAAACGAACAAACTAAAAATTATTTATACTGTCTCCGAGCATCCCTCGATTAAACTTCTTTTTAATCTTCTTAGCTTCATATTTCTCTCATTATATAATGGAAAAGTAAATAGTTTGTTTTGTGCCACGGACAATTGCGTAAATTCACTGATTTCGTACGAATATGTAATAGAGCTCGACAACATATAAAGATATTTTTATTTATATATATTAACACAAACAGTGCATATTAATTTTATATGACATTTATTATCGATAATATAGTTATTGCAGGTTATTAATTAATTGACGTAATAAGTCATGGGGACACATATATGCGATAATTAATTAAACATTTAATTGTCGTTTTAGATTTTTCTGATAAATATATATTATTATTAATATTTCAGGTTTGAGAGAGAGATGTAGAAATTTTAGTAATATAGTTTACCTCAATTTCTCATATTAACTATAACTAATATATTATAGAGATATTTATGTTGTAAAAAATGTTGAGAATTATATATTCTGGCAATAATTATTTTAATTCAAACAAGAAATAGATTTTAGTAATATATTAAAGCAATCTACATAATTCGATATCGATTACTTTTTTCATCTGACTAAGTAGCTTTGTTATAAACTATTTAACTCGGGAAAGAATTAAAAATTTAAATAATTTTTTACATGAACTTTTTTGAATGAAAAATAATATCGTTCGTATAAGATAACAGCGTTAAATTATGTTTGTCTGGATTGTACAAGATTAATCTTAAACGAGTGGGATCTTGTTACTACGTGACTCAGAAGTTATCACGTTGTCTTACGACGTAATAAGGTTAATACCTTCTCGCGAGATCGGCAATGTAAAAATACTAAAGCCTCTTTTATATTAGGCTATTCGTCTAAGCGGATAAACATGAAATCGAATATTACTCATTATTATCTTGTGGCACGTTTATACACTGGTTTATATCCACTTACGTTTTAGAAGCCGGAAAAATGATACTCGGATAGAATCTCTAATAAATTTTCAATATGTTGTAAATGTTCAAATAACACACGAATACGAATGTAATAAATTGCACTATTTATTTGAAATGTATCAGTGTATGTTATTTGAATAGCAAATTTTTAATTACAGTTACTAAGTTTTGCAACAAATGCATGCACTATCAAATGATGCATTTTTTATGGAATTTATAAATATTATTTTATTAATTATACATCTTAAAATATAAAATAAAATAATAGCTCTTATAGCCCGTCTTTGTTTACAATTATTAAGTTTAACAGTTACTATTTTTATTTTATATAAAATAAAAGTTGAAATAATATTACAGATACATAATGTAGATTTGTATAATTTTAAACGTATGGTATAATTAGATGCAAATAATTAAGAATTAAATTGCACGAAATTAGTTTTTATAATTATAGTACATATTTTCTGCACGATATAAAGTTGCATTTGCAATATAAAATTAGTTCAAAAATGCAATAATAGTGGATCTGCTGATTTTATGATTTTTGAAAGGTATATTAAATAATATAGATTCGTCGACATTAAAATGAAGTCAGTCTAAGGATGAAACAATTCGGTCGTTAAGAGATCTGTGAGATATTACATCATTATGTATGAGATTTACGAGGCTACCCGTCTTCGGAGGATCCTCTAAATATCATTAAAGTTTCATTAAAATTAGAGGGGAGTATTTCGCGCGGCTCTTCCGAGAATGCTATCTCTTATCAGTAGACCCTTTAAATCAACTTTAATATTACTCCCACTAGTTAAAATCATCTAGAATAATACGTTAAAGTATCCTGAAACTATATTTAATGTTATCATTATAATATTCTTATCGCTATATTTGACAATTTACATCGAAAAATATTTATCATTGATTTATATTAGAATAAAGCGATAAGTCTGAGAAGTAATTTGTGTTGAACTCTGGTCGATGTGCTTAATTTTCTAAAATATTTATCATTTCCTATCGTTTGCTCTCAATATTTTCTTGTAACGATTTTTCAAAACGATTTAAACATTTATAGATTTTAAATATAACAAATTTAGCGAACGAAAAACATAGTTGAGCCAAAGAACTGTTTTTCATTACATTCAACCAGGATATACGAGAGCAGCGGTGTGTAAAGAGAAACAAACGTTATCGGCTCCAAAGCCCCGTCGACATCCACGACACGCGTCGTACACGAGCATGCGCTCGAACGAGAATCTTGTCTCGTGCAATTAGTTGAACTTGAACCGCCCCGTGTCAACGAGAGGTCGACTGTCGTGGTACGCGACGACGACGACGACGACGACGACGATTACGGTGGCGACGAAGACGATGAAGAGAGCGGGGCGTTTCCTCTCAATGGGTCGAAACTTTCTCGTGGCGGGCCACCTACACATTATTCCTCGAAACTCTCGAATGTGCTTAATTAGGCGATATTTGAGCTCTTGTCTCATCGTTGCCATCAACGCCGACAGGACTGCTATCACTTCTCGTCGGCCGCTGCGAAACCGCCTCTCTGACGGAGTTTACGCTCGCAAGCCGCTATTTACTGAAAGCCACCGGAGCTCTCTGATCTAAGAAAGTACGGGCGGTTACCCTGGCCGATCCATATAGACACCTTACATGAATTAATATTGTTAAGGTCTAATTAGTACCACCGCGACACACCGGCTGCGTGACCTCGCTCAGTCTCGCCTATTCTATCCTTCATCCACTTCTTCCTGCTACCTTCCGCTTCTCTGAACCTCTTTCCAACTGGCAATCTCCTTCCACTTTCTCACTCGCAACTTATCCCGTAAATTGCGTTACACTCCGTCCCAATATCCGAATTACGAGGAGCAGAAGCTAGGCAAGGGAAAAATAAAATAAATGAGAACCTGATATGCAGGATGTGTGTTGGTGGGGTTGAAACTTTTAGTTATTAGTTATATATATCATCGAATCGGCACGCGAATGTGCGCGTTTCTATAAATAAATTATATTATATTAAAAATATATAATTTATTTTTAATAAATTTTATTTATAACATTAATTAGAGCATATTTTAATATACGTTTCTGCATTTTTTGTTCTAGGGTCGATGTAATCGAGAGAAGCCACCTTGCAAGTATTTCCATCCCCCGCAGCATCTGAAGGACCAACTCCTCATAAACGGGCGCAACCATCTAGCGTTGAAAAACGCGCTGATGCAGCAGATCCAGCAAGGCCTCACGCCGGGTCAACCCCTCGTGCCTGGCCAGGTACCCACAGTGGTATGTCCAACAAATTAACACGATCGTTGCACTACGTCTTTTGCTATCCACACATTCACACACTTTTACCACGATCGTAAGATTTTGATTTTTGTCTGTGTTTAGTCTCGAGGGTTATATCACTAGATTATCTTTTTTTTCGGTGACGCTGCGTAGATTGTCGACGGCGCGGTGCTTTCTTATCATACTAGTATCGTGAAAGGAGCTAGATGCATTATAGAAGCTGCGTTTGCATACGCATTTAAACTGAAACACTTTGCAAGCTTTTCCGGCAGAAATCTCGAGATACAAGCGCCGCACTTCGCCGTCCATATATTTACCTGCGTTCCTTCTTGCGGACATTGCACCGAGAGATAAAGTTTTTCAGAATTAAAAAGTTTAGCACGTCGCATGTTCTTGGTCAGTGTCATCCCCTATTCTTCCTAGAGAAACCTGACTTAATCACGTATTTTAGTAGACAGACAATTTACAGAATCAAATCTCTTTGATGTAAGTTTCATGCAAAATCAATAGTTTTTAATCTCATTATTTTATATCATGGCTTTTTCAAGTTTTTATGTAAAATATATGCAATATCTCTATTTTAATTATTTTTAAATCACTAAAATACATTTAAATTATCTTTGAATTACAAATATCTTTAAATTCGAAATATTATAAATATGTAAATATTTTTCGCTTTCAATTTATTGATCTTTAGACGAGTTCTAAAGTCATCAGATAATTTGCAAAGGGCTTATGAAGCACCAGATTGAGAGTGGACATACTAGATTCCCATCGCAAACATTTCTAGTATTGTTCGTATTTGTCATTCGACGGGAGGCTTGTTAATTACGGGAAAAGCACAATATCAAAGTTTCGAACGATAGAATAATATTTGGGCGCGGCAAAGTTTCGTCGACTCGTCAGAATTTCACGCGACATCGCGTGCGTTGCTCGGGTTTGTTTCAAACGACCCAAATAAATCTTCGACGACCGACAGAACTTTTCCACGTTTTTTTTTTTTTTCAGACTCTTGTGTCCCTATCGTGCGTCTCGATAAAGCCTTCTCGCACGCACGAGATTGTCAATTCTTTTTTTTTTTTTATGAACGGTGTCAGTAATTAAAAATCGAAACTCGTTATTAACGTTCTCTTTTTACTCATGACATACATTCATAGTCTTTTGCTACGTGATATCGAACCCTATACTATGACTGCCTGTCTGTCCCCTATGTTTGCCGCTGTGGCTCACGTGGTTGTGGTTGATTGTTGGTGTGTTCTCCAATTACGTCATTGGTGAACAGGAGGCACCAGCACCTCCGGCACCACACCATCACCTTCAACAGCAAATCCAGCAGCAACTTCTCGCTACCCACGCCTTTATGGTAACTCCTGGTTTTGGTTGGCTTCCACTAATTTTTAGTTAATTTAACGCCACGCTGGCTAGTAGTGGATGTAAAGATATTCGTTTTAATCTATGTAATAGTAAAATGGACAGAACTAATTTACAGTTTAAATATTATACATGTTTTACACAATATGAGTTAGTGTGATCAATTTTACATCCACTATAGTCGTTTGAGCGATGCGCCTGTAATTGGTAAGCGTTTGTACGAGAGCTTAAATTTATTTTAAAAACGCGTCGCATAGTAAAAATTACGTAACTTTTATTTGCATGCTTCAAAAGATGTTTTGTTTATTTATTGAGGAAAGGAGATTTTTGTTTGTACATGTTTTTCTTAAAGTTTTTCTGTAGAAGAGAAGAGCATGAAATTTTGCAGCCAAGTAAAATATCTGCGCGTTTTTAGCTTTAAAAGCAATGAATATCTTTTTCTTTGAAATATTTTATTTTATTTATATCTGCTATCACAAAGAGCATAAATAAGTATGTAAGAAAAAATCGTTAAACTTTAATATCACAAAAATGTGAAGTCTACAAGAGTCAAAGAGACAAAGTGAAAGGACACGAGGCATGGTAATCTCGGATTTGGAAAGATTATTGTTTTTATATAATATTCTCTATATCGAGAATAAAATATCTAATTGTCTGACATTTTGAGAAACGATAATGCTGATATTCAATTGTAAATACGTGTATTGTCAAATTTACGCATTTTCCGACAATTATCTAGCCTTGTCTCCGGAAACTTTTTTTACAACGATGAAAGCTCCCAGGATATTAGAGGCTTTTGAGAAGAACAAACGAGAGTGATCGACTCGTTCAGATGTGCTTGAAATTACCTGCCTTCGCTTCTGGGAACCAGCTCTCGCTGCAAAACCAAACGCTTCGTATGGGAACGTACGCTTGTCGTTAAAAGCGAAGGGGAGGGCATGAGAAAAGGGAAAAAAGACGATTAAGGCTTCGCGAAGTCCGCAAACGAGATGCCTTTTCTTTACAGATTCTTGCCTTTGGCACCTAAGATTCGTTTTTGAAGTTCACCTCTGGCTCGAGTTAACTAATCCTCGCGTAACATAATTTTTGCAAAAGTCTGTCTTGATGGATTAATTTATTATATTTTATTGATGATAAATAATTTTGATAAGACCAAATACATGCATTTTATTAGGCATATATTATGCATTTTATTTTAAGATAATTTTTATTTTATATATATGCATTTATTTGCAATTTTTTTATTATTTATATTGTTATTACAGATAATTGCTTCTTTCTTTAAAATTAAACCAAGTACAGCAGAAACTCTTTAGAAATTAGATGTATATATTAAATGTCTAAAAAAATTAATAAACACCAAACAGCGCTATTCGCGAAGCCTTAACGCATTTTAAAGCAGAATTTACATGAATCAGAAATAGCAGATTATATATACAAAGTATTTGATAATTAGTAGCATAAACGCGAGGAAACGCCAACTTCTTGTGAGAGAAGTAGACTGCTCACTTCAAAGTAAGTTGATTTTTGTAACAAGAACTTTTTCTTGGAAACCACTGCGTTCTTAAATTATTTGCAATCAAACTTTACTACGCAGTCAATCGTAATTTTTGTTTAACTTGTGGAACGTATATTTCTTAACGATAATATAGAGTATAGTTACGATTCTAAACTTGTCAAACATAGTTATTTCTTAAGTACATGCGCGTCTCAATCTTTTTTGATGTTATGCAATATATAATATTTTGTAATATTTATGAGAACTTTCAAGTATTATTCGTAGAATGAAGCGTATTTTCCATGCGCGACATACCTTTAAAATTAAGACTATTATACTTTTTATATGCGGTATCAAGAAATTTTACTGTACATAACAACTTGAAAGGAAAAAAGACTGTGTTTGCATAAAAATCAAAGATTTTCGTTATTATCGCAAATCGAAGAAGTGTAATATTTTCCATCGCAACTACTCGTTACCAAGTACTCTGTATAAAAAAAAAAAAAAAGATATATATTTATACATAAAGCGCGTATTTGAATAATTTCGCGAATCGCGACGCGTGACGCAAATCGAAGATACACGCGTGGAGCGAAGGTGGGGGACAGGTGTGTTCTAATCTTTGTTACCTGGATACCTTCCGGGGTGTGTTTTCGCAGGCGACGAATCCGTACCTGACCGGTATGCCGCAGGTTGGCAACACGTACAGCCCGTACTTCGCGCCCAGCCCGATAATGCCGGCGATAATGGGTCCGGCGGACCCAACGGGCGTCGGCAGTCCGCTGGGTGTGGTACCGCAGACGGTGGCGATGCCGCAGAAGATGCCGCGTACCGATCGCCTCGAGGTATGTCTACCACCAAACTACATTCAACAACAACAACAACAACAACAGCAACAACAACAACAGCATGGGGCCCAACACGGCGCAGCCGGGGCCTCAAGGTGCCCGATGGCCGCGCCCAATACCGTGTACCAAGTGCCGGCCGGTCCCCCCAATCAGGTGTCGCCCGTATCCACGATGCAATCTGTCAATCATCCGTCGTCCCCTACCACCATCACCACGACGTCCCTGTGCACCCCCTTGCACAACCCCCATGCCCATCATCATCCCATTCACAATCTCATTTACGTTCACGCGTATTACTAGATCAAGCTATATGCGCCGAGTATCGGCAACGTGCGATTATTCGCGGCCTGGTAGATCGACGCCGACGCATCACTTCTTTACATTTTTCGTTTTCTGCTTTTTTTCAGAGATTTTTCTTTCTATTTTTTTTTTTCTCGCGTGGGTGTAGCGTCGGGTGGATTAATCAGCCGGGGCGTAATGGAACGCTCGTGGTGATTAGAGCGTAACGATGACAACGGATGAAATTGCAACGGGCACCGGGAATATCCTGATTTCGCAGACGGGTTTAGACGCGCGTCGCTAATTACAGTAATTTACGCCGCGCGGAAGATGATATGATTACGTGAACCGAATGGCTTACGTTCGGTCGCGATCGAACGGTTAGATGATGGATCCTAGGCTGGAAATCGGACATTTATTTTATCAATGCACGAGAGTGTATGACGAGCACGAGATGACTACGACGGGAGAGACTTTGACAGTGTCTAGTTTTAGGGTTACAAAGCGCTATATATTTCTATACGCTCACTCGATTACGCTAATGTCACGTGTTCGATCACGAGGAGAGATATGTTAGCTTAGCGTGTAGAGATGATAGCATTGAGATTAGCGCAACTATTAGTCGATGATTAGCGAACAATGCGATTTAAATCGATACGATATCAATCGCAGTATCGATGACGATTAATCCCGTGTACTTGATATTTTGTCGAATCATTTGCGACGGTACGAACATAAAGCTCGTTCGATGAATTTGAAGCAAACTTAATACTAACAAACAATAAGAGAGGAAAAACGGGAAATCGAAAATGATAAAGATTTATGCATATATTTTATAGCTGGAGTGACAGAAAACGAAGCGATCGATAATAATATATCGTGGATATAATAACAAAAAAATTTAATTTAGGATACTGCACGTAGAGAAATAGATTCTTAAGGATCGCGAGCGATATAAAGGTCTAAAAAATTAACGAGAGGATTGTAAATTCCTAAGTCAGATAATTATAATGGCAACGATAAAACGTGATGATTAATTACTATTACCTTTTAACGAGCAGGATGTATGACTGATTGATAGAAGTAGATGGATCTGCAAACATGCGACTGTCAAAATCGTGCAAAATTATATATATTATATTTTTGTATGTATATGAGTATCTTCCTTTTTTTGAGCTTATCGAGTCATATGATTTATGATATCTATTTTTCTCTCCGTGATAAATTGATAAATTGTTGTGACAGTTACATTGCTGTACATATCTATTTTATGAAAACTCTTTAACAATCTGTGACATGTTTATTATTCAAAAATAATTTTTAATCGCGCTTATTAGAATTGATTTAAAAAAAAAAGAAGAAAAAAAAGAAAAATTGTCAATAATGATCGATTATCGATGATTGATAATTTGTCGAATTTTGAAACAATTTATTATATTTTAACTTTCTATTATCAGTTGTACAAAAATGTGTTGAATTGATTCGACGTTACGACGAATTACATATGACGTTCGATGACACTTTCGATACATTATACGAAAGCTAAAAGACATACCACTTGATCGTAGCCGGTTTTTGCGTCGCGTTATCGTTCATTTCTTTGGATCATCAAAATGTCATCGTCGAACGATGCAAATCAGGATGTGACATACTCGGCTTATCTTTTGCCTCGATTCCCGCGTTGCAGAGATAATCTATCTCGCAACGTGATTACTTTATAGAAAAGCATTTCTAATACAGTCACAGAGAAATTCAGATACTTCTATAAATGCGCTCGTTTCTTCAAATAATTATTTCGCATAGATAAATATACATATAAATAAATATAAAGATATATAAAGATATCTAGGAATAAAGCGTAGGTTAGCGTAACGTAATACTATATCGTACTTCTGTAAGAGCGTTTTGGGAAAGGCGGGCGAAGAGCTTTCCGGAAATAGAACGCGATCTTTGCACAACGGCAACGATCCGAAATATCCATCGTCGTGTAATATCGGCCTTCGGCGCGCGGGATATCCAGTTGAGGAAACGCTTCGAAAACAATAACAAGATCGCCTCGCGAAACTTTCCTTGTGGAGTTTTCTATACCGCGCGAGAGTTCGCAGATTTCCCCGGAGCCGCCATTCGCGCCGCTTTTCCCCTTTCGCCCGGCGGCATTCGCAAAATTAACAAGTTTCGCGAATCAGTTTTCACGAGGGCAGTTCTCGCGCGAGGCAGTTTTCGCGAGGCGCTGAAATGAAATAAAATCGAGATAGCGAGGGGCCGAGTATCGGCGCGAAAATTCGCGCCGGTTTCGTTTGCGAGGCGAATCCACTTCGCGAATATAACAATAGATTACTTTTTGTAAAAGGCGTGGTGTTTAGTCCGCTCGTTCCCAATGCGATCCTGATGACGAGACGTATATCAAGAATATTAAAGACAATTAAAATTGATATAAATTCATATATAAATATATATATTTTACGATTCGACTCTCTTGATGCCCAATATAACCGAATAGCGCAACGAATTAAGAATTTATATAAAGTAATTTCTCGAAAAAAAAAATTAAATATCGTTATAATCAACTAAATTATTGAAAAATCTATATAATTAAGAGAAAATATTTAAACGTCTTTCTCAATATTTAGTGGTATGTACTCGAAAGTGAGAGGGGATTATAACATTAGGACGACTGAAAAAAATTTGTCTAGAATATATCAATTTTACATATAAAAAAAGAATAGAAACTATTTTTCAAATATTATGTGTGCTTTATCGTGATCGATATCGATAAGTGATTTGTTTCAGTAGTATTCAAATTAAAATAATTACCTATATCTCTTACTGAAATAGTGAAAAAAAAAGTTATAAGGAAATGAAAAATCATGATGTTCTCTAAAAACGATTTACTTGGATAATATGATAGATTTAGCCGTTCTAGTGTTAGCACCCGCGTAGTCGAAGGCAACGAAGGATGGCAATGAAGGCGCATCGAAACATTAACAATTCGCAATCATTTTTGTTTGACATGAAACTAACGCGAGAAAGGAGACTCTCTCGAGAACAATCAACGTACAGCCGATTCGATTGGATTAATTTTATTATTTATGACGTGCTTGTACGTCGTGTCTGTGTATGTGATTATTATTCCGATAATAATTCTTATCGCCACGACTATATAATATATATATATATTGGTATTACGTTAATTGCAAGAATCAACGAACGGCATAGTCCCTTGCGAGTCATTGCATTTGTAGCGGAAAGCGTGACTTTTGCGGACGTTTCTCGCAACGTCCGAGGAGGATCTAAATTTATGTACGTATGCAGAATCATATACAGATACATGACGCTTACACGCGCCGGTCCATCCATGCATACGCACATAGTGATATGTGTATATAGTAGGTAGGTTAACTAATTAATTAATTAATTAATTGTATTTTGTATCGTAGAAACTAGTAGGACGTAAACGAAAGAGGAAGTGTAACTCGCCTCAATTATTTCAATTTTACTACGATTAAATTCACGATTTTTTTTCTTCGGATCGTATTTAATTATGCAAAATATAATTTTTTTTTCTCTAGATATAAATCGATTGTCTAGGCGATCGATATTACAAGTTCGACCGCTCTCAAACTAGGCAAAAACTAATTTTGCGCTCGCAATAGAATTTCCAGCCTGGGCGAAATACAAAGAATCATTTCGACGCGAATTAGCAATACGAATCTCAAGATTTTTTTTTTTATCAATTTTATAATTGCCATATATACGCATCAAACCTTCGCACCAATCTGTCCCTCCTTCTTCCTCTTTTATCCCCGATCACCATAGTGAGAACGATAGCACCCTCTCTTTATCCTTCATATCGAGATAATACATGACCGATTTCACGTATTTACGATTAAGTAAAGGAAACGTTTACGAAAAGAGTAAGGATATAACGCAATGTAATGTCGTTTAATTAAATATTGCAGATATAGAAATCGGAAATATACGATCGATTTATTAACTAACTACGATTGGTCTTACGGTAATACTTATTATAATATTTGGTAACATACAATAACGATGATAATTAGTAATCATAACAATACCTATTTGTGATGTAATACGATGACTTGTGCACTGAGTTCGGGTCACGTGAAATTTATTGATGATGAATTCTCAAATAAAAGAAATATAATTGAAACTGAAAACTGATGCACAGACTGTTTATTGATTCTTACAAGTTCACTTAATGACCAAGAAGTTTGTGTGCTTTGTATGTCTTATCTTAGTCTTCTTGTATTTTTTACTTATCTTTTTATTTTATTTATTGCCTTCGCTCTTTTGGTTGGAATTTGCGCGAAGTATGCCCAGAATATGTATATGATTCGTTTTTTTTTTTTTATTTTTCCGTTTGAAAATACAGACTTTTCTGTAGTGCACTTCCGCTTGCAATCAAGAAATAGTTTCTTGCGTATTCGTGAAATTCGAGGATATATACTCGATCGGGACTGTGCTAGTTATTCGGCTATCATTCAAGTAATCTGCGTGTAAACGTCTTTCTCGCGAGAATATTCGCGTTATGATTCGTTGCTAATTCTCCTGTCCATATCGACGACGACATTGAAGTTCGCCCATTTCTCTCCGAAAACTCATCCTGTCTGGATATCTCAACGACCCCCTCACTTCCTTGACCCTTGCACCTGCGAGAAAAAAAAAGAGATCGTAAGATCTGCATCTCCCACGGA